AGGAAAATGAGAGAAAAAATCAAACGTTTAATATTTAATTTGAAATTATCAGGTTGCATTTTTCTATTCTATTATATAATAGTAATGAATGATTTTTCCTAAACCCTGCGCTACGCACGTTGAAATCCTTGTTTGATGGACTAATTTTCAGTTGAAATTTTTTTAATTTTACGTAGCTTTCGAGGTGCGTCATTGTCATTCTTATACGGTGGACGTGTAATGAATTGATGAGGAAATCCCATTTCTCTAATTCAAAATTCTTAAGGATAGAAACTTTTATTTAGCATATTCTTGTTATGGATGGCATTGGATTTATGATTATCTTTGGAGTTTATTAAAAATTGAAAATTTTGAATTGGGGATTCAAAAATGTTTGGAAACTGTTGGCCTTGTGAAATTGACATCCCAAATCACATCCACCGTCACGCTCCACCTACAGTGGAGAGATCGGGATTTATTTAGAAGATCATTGTTTCTTTGGTGGGCCATTTTGCCCTAATCATGCTCCAACATAAAAAAAAAAAAAATTGTTGGAATGATAAATTATGTAAAAAGATTACTATTTTGCAATTTGTTTTAAACAAACTACATATTTTATTGTTATTTATGAATGAGGTATCATCAAAAGATTTATTATTTGTTAATAATTATAAAATATGTAATTCATCTTATATAAATAGATTAAATATATCTCAATAGTTAAGAATTTAAAATTTTAAGTTGGAGATTTCAAGTTCATACTTTGAGTTGAGTGAGAAAAGATTTAAGAAAAAGAGGTGACTATTTCTTTTTGTATAACTTATTCAGATATACTAAAAAAAAATTAAATATAAATTCTCTATTATATAGATGTGATCTTCCTTAGGTGAAGGAAGATTCCTAAATGGATCCAAAGGATACTTCCTTTTAGGTCCAATGGATAGGACAGGACAGGCAATATACAGGGAAGGATTGAATTTAATTAATTTTAAATCCTAATTTTCTTTTGGTTGATAATAATTTGGAATATCATGGGTTTTGACTTTTGACTGTAAGATTGGAAATCTGTTTCTTTTCTTTATGTCTTGGGGGTCTTTAGATTTCAGGGTTTGAATTTTGAAATCCAGAATTACTTTTGGTTTGCGTCTCCTTCGTGGATTGGACCACCGACACTGCTATTAATGAATTTTGTGTCATGGTCTTGACATTTTTAATGCTTCCTAACGGCTATAACTCTGTGGTCTGCACTCTATGACTCAAAATCTAGTTTTGCAAAATATATTTTTATTTTGTAAAAGTCAAAGTAATAGTGTTAATGTTATATCATTTTATTTGCAGTTCTTTAGTGTGATGTGCTAGAGGAGGAAAATGCCTTGTCTTGATGGGAGATTATGTGCTAAAGCTCACTTAAAATTCCATAACATAGATGATGAAGCATTGGTAGCTAATGAAGTCCTAGGAGGAAGAACTTGATATGCAAAAGAATGGAAAAGATGGAGTTGGAAATGAACATAGCAGGTGCATTTCTCTCTTCTCTCTTAATGTCTAAATTCTATATTGAATTATTGATGGTCCAGAGTGTGAATCATTCTCCTAAAAATCTTTCCTAAAAAGAGTAAATATCAGCAATGTTTCACGCTGAATCTTATGATACTTCTACTTTTCTACAATAATTTGAATAGGAAGTTTTGAAGCTTAATGTTGGAAAATCGTCAGTGCTATCATTCCTGTCCATTTCTCTTAAGAACTAATTTTTAAAGTTTTGTTTAATTTGGTCAATTAATCTGAAGTTTCATGTTGTTCCCTTTATTAATTTATATTCCTAGAGAATTACATTAAACAGTGCTATCACCAAGACATTTCCTCCAAAAACAAAGTTTCTATGAGGATCAGATTGGAATGATCTTACCTTTTAGCCCCTTAGAACTTGTGGCCACTTCAACTCAAAATTTTGTGTGCTCAGCTTAATTGGTTTTTTTGGTTTGTTTTCTTAAGTAGCCTGGCACCATTTTGACCCCGCTTCTTGAAAATGACTGTGAATTCCCTTTGATATATGTAGTAATGTGATCTGTTGTTTTGACTGCATTTATTTCGTGCTAGACTATCCCCCAAGTCTCTTACATGGTGATTTTGAGAGGCCTTGTTCTTCTCTTGCTGCTACATTTCGATGTTAAAGTATCATAATCAGATGTTCCCTGTCATTTGCAGACGTTGAAAAGAAAGTTTCGAAGATCTTGAAGCTTATCAAGAATAAAGATCAGTCTGAAAATGATGTTTTCCCAAGAGATATGAAGAAAGAGTCAGAACTTGTTCGACTTGTTGAGGACTTTTACAAACAATATCAGTCCCTCGTTGCACTATGTGATAATCTTAAAGGAGAATTAGAGAAGAAAGCTCGTGGAAGGAAAGGAAAGGAGACGGTTTCTTCATCAACCTCCAGCTCAGATTCAGAATACTATTCCTCAGAGGACACTGAAAATAGAAGCCGCTTGAAAAGTGAGCGTCTTAAAGCAGCCAACATCATTAAGGAAGAACTTGAAGCTGCAAACACAAAAGTTTCTGAATTGAAGCATCAATTGGCCTCTAAAACTGAAGAGAAGGAAGCTTTAGTTTCGGACTACATGACAGCATTAAGTAAAATAGAAGATGCAGAAACCATTAACAAAAATTTGAGGAATGAGTTAGATGAAAGAGAGAAAGAACTTGCCGCCCTTGTTAAGATGCATGAAGTTCTAGAGAATCAAGCATCAAGCTTGAAAACTGAGGAAAAAGAAGGCTTGTTGGTGCGGGCAATGGACCTTGAGTTGGAAGTAGAGACGCTTCCCAAACAGAAAAATGATGTGGAAGAGCAAATGAGTAGTAAAATCTCTGAAACCAGTCAACTAAGAGAGGAAAAGAGAGGCATGCATGATAGGATACTAGAATTAGAGGGATCATTTCCAAAAAATGGGAGTGGAGCTTCTATTGGAAAGAATTATCAGGCTGGAGATGAAGCTTCTGCTCAGATTGTAGCCTTAAAAGAACAGGTTGACCATCTACAGGAGGGGTTGGATGCCTTGAAGATTCGGAATAGTCAGTTGGAGTTGCATCTAGAAGGAGAAAGACAAGAATATTTACAAAGTCTGTCCCAGATGGAAGATCAAAATATGACATTGACAGGCAAGATTGCTGACCAGCAAAGGATCCTGAAGGAACAGGAAAAAACCATCAACAAATTCATAGAGGATTCTAAACTGGTGAAAAGATGGTCATGGTCGTCAACAGGGACCTCCAATTCCAAATTAAATCAGCATGCCCTGGAAAGGAAGATGGAGGATTTAGCAGAAGAGTTCCGCAAGAAACTTGAAGATAATATCCGTCTGTTGTACCAGAGGATCAGAGTAGCAGAAAAAATACATTATGAAAACAAAGAGAACTTCAGGAAGATGAAAGAAAAGTTTGAGCAAAAAACTGTAGCACTTAAAGAAAGAATTGCAATTTATGAGGCTGAGTCCAAGAAATCAACAGGAAGAGTGGAACCAGGGATCAATGCATTGGCTGGATTAGACTTGGCAGTCAGAAAGCTGGAGGACAATGGGAATTTCCTCACCCGCATATCAAACGTGACAAAAGAACTTGTATTTGCGAAGAACTGGGCCTCAGAGAGAAATAAGGAGATAAGACAGTTGCAAAGTAAAATTAATTCTGTGGTTGAGCAACTTGATGACAAGGAAGAGCAAGAATTCTTGTTAAGTGAGAAAGTTTGGAACTTGGAAGCTTCGCTGAGCAGGGAAGTTGGAGAAAAGTTGAATCTAATTGAAGTAGTGAGCCAACTGGAGAAGAAGATCAACGAGAAGGATGACAGATTGTTAGGTCTTGGAGAGGAAAAGAGGGAGGCCATAAGGCAACTCTGCCTCTTGATTGATTACTATCGCAGCTGTTACAATGGTGTTAAGGAAATAATCTCAAATTCAACTGTTGTAAACAGGAAAAGAACCTGAACTTTTCCCCACTTCAAATTCATTCATTTTTTTAGATAGTAAGGGAATTTTCCATGTAACCTAAAATAAAATAGTAATTGCTATCTATAGTTTTTTTTTTTTTTTATAAATAAATACAAATTTTTTTTTTTTTTTTTTAATCTTAATTGTATAATGAGAGGCAATTATCTTTTATCCCTTATACCACCTTATTCATATGTCATACGACTCAAATTCAAAATCTCTTATTTCTAACGAAAAGAGATGACCATTGAACTATTAGCAACTGTTATCTATAATTCTATACATATAAAGCCATCTTCTTTTACTCTTTCTCTAACTTTCTAAATCAATAGTTAAATTATTATTTTGTCATTCTAAAATTAAATTTTCACATGTTAACATGTATATTTAGTGCACTTTTTTATTTTTAATCTGTATGAAAAAAATAAAAATTAATTTTAATTTTATTAATTATTCAATTAAAATATTTTATGTGATGAAGATAAATAATAATTTTATAACTTTTTATACAAATTAATAATAAAAAAATATTAAATATGTCTTTAAAGTGTTTCCTTAGAACATGGAAATGAAAAACCTAAAAAACAAAACCAAAAAAAAACGCAAGGGGATAAATAAACAAATAAATAGGAAAGGCAAGAAGCGCGGGAACTTTCGAAGCAAAGTCAATAAATCGTGATAATTCGCCGCTTAACGAGAAATTGAGTGACAGAAACTGTATCAGTCAGTGGCATGTTCGTAATAACTTGCAAATTCAAAGGGCCATTTTCCATGTACTTTAAAGATTCCTTCTCCTGGAAGCAGAAACAACAAATGCGGTGGGCATTGCAACTATCCAAACAAAATTATTTGGAACCTTTAAATTTTACTTGGATTT